TTTTTAAGATAATCCTTTTAATATAATATAGTTCTAGGCAATAAATTTGATTAGTAAAAATGTTTTTAAAAAAATAATACCTACTTATTATAAATAGTTAATTTAATTTTTTAATTCATTCAAATTAATTAACTGATTCTTATATTTAGGATAAGTGGTAGTATTTTGAAAAGTCAGCTCTGTAAGTGGTAGTATTTTGAAAAGTCAGCTATGTAGATAAATAAGCGATGAAAGCAACCGTCGCGGATCATCCATACAAGTTACATAACTAGATTTACTCAATTATTTTATTTCTGTCTTGAGTCACATGACTAGATGTCCTCATCAAATCATATCATCATTTTGACACGTTCCACTAACCATCTCAGTTTTCAAAATCACTGATCATATTATTAATATAATATATTATCATCCCTCCCTCCCATTTCTAAGAGCCGTCTGGGTTAAATTTAATTTTAAATATAACATCTTAATTTATTTTATCTTTCATGTATTTATTATAATTAATTAATCTATCTAATTTTTGATAATCTATCCAAATTAACTAGGTAACTTTTATATTAAGAACTAGAGAGAGTAACTTTTAAATGGATCTCTTTTGGGCAAAAAAAAAAAATGCATTGCAGTAATTTTTTTTTTTTAAGACTCAGTGCATTATAATAAATAAGTTAAATTAATTATATAAACTGGATTAGGCTCACAGGTAGGCTAGGTCGTAGGTTTTGCTTGGGATCTAGCGCCGGACTTATCTCTCTCTCTCTCTCTTTATGTGCGTGCGTGTGTGTGTGTTAGTACCAATGTTTTAAAAGCCGGACCGGAAGTCGAACCGGAAAGATCAACGGGTCATGGTTCAATCGGTCGGATCGGTCGGACCGTTCGGTCAGACGACGGTGACGCAATAATTAATTTAAAAAATATATATACATATAATTAGTATATATGAAAAATATCAAATTATTAAATAATTTAGAAATGCATTTAAATAATCTAAAATATAATAAAATCATTGAAAATGGACTAAAACCTTATATATTTAATTTTATGTATGTTTAAAATATTTAATGATATTACAAATTATCAATTCATTCAAATCAAAATATTTTTTTAAAAGATAGATCAAATATCGAAACAAAAAGACTAGCGACTCATGATTTTAACACCACAATATATGAAATTTCAATGAAATAATACTATATGGTTATAACTAGTCTAAAAATATATTAGGATATTTAAGGGGATCAATTTTTTATTTTTCTTCTATTTTTTAAAATTTTTTAGTATTTTTCAGTCAGGCTAAAAAACCGTCCGGTTTTCTGAAAACCGTTCCGGTTCCCGGTCCAACTCCGGTTTCGGCTTAATAACGGCTCAACTCCGGTCCAATCCGGCTCAACTATGTGAACGGTTTTTTGGTCCAAACCGAGCCGTTAACGAGTCCGGGTGACGGTTCAACCGGTCCGACCGTCCGGTCCGGTCCGGTTCTTTAATCATTGGTTAGTACGAGTGTACGACACGCCATTGCATTCACATCATGGGTCAACACAAACGCTGAGAGCCATTGCCTGCAAAGTCCCTGCACGTAGCCAAACGAAAAACGAATTACGTGTAAGAGTCAAGGCCCCGTTAGGTACGCAAACTCATACAATGGTTTTTGAATTTCTGAACAATTAAATTTCATCAAATAGCTTGAATTCAATGTCCACACTAAGACCTTGCATGTGTGATACGCTATTTAATTGGGACTTTAACTTCACAAAGTACGAGCTTTAGCGATGTCGTCAGACTTTTCAATCCACGTGTTTTGAGACATTAAGCTTATGACTTATTTTCTCATGTAAATATATATATGTTCTCTAAATATACAAAATACATTCACATACGCAATGAGTATAAAGGATAAGGATTGTGAGTTAATCGATTCTCCCAATTCAATGTGCTACCACACCACCTTTGCATGCATTAATTCCCTTTGTATGTATATTTGTATGGCTTTTTATCGTCATCCATATCAATTCAAACTTTTAAAGCACACTTTTTAGGTTTATAAGCGAAAATGAAAATAAAAAAAAATGTTTGCATTTTTTTGGGCTAAGAATTCCTTTTTGTTAGGAACATATTGGGCCTAGCCAGAACATCCATATTGGCCCGCTACCTGTTTGCAAAACGTGGGCTTGTATTCAAAGAAAACCATAGCCCTTAGTCTAGTCTTGGTTAATCCATAGAAAACCAAAATTCAAATTCTCGTTGAGAGATATATTCATATTTAATAGCTGATAGTCTATATTTCGGAAAAACAAAGGAATGGCTTTTTGAGATGACTTTTATTTTAAAAGAATAATATTCATTTGTTTAGTAACGGGAACATATGACCTCGTTAATATGACACCCCATGTTATAACTCTTGTAATTAATTACAAAGCCCATCATATGTATGAGAAGAAACCAAAAAAGGGACACAATAATATCAATGTTCATAATAAACTGATTGCACAAGTTCTCATTCTTCAAGTGCTTGGAAAATTTGTAGAATTTATTTAGATACTAAAAGAAGTATATACTTTTGTGCGACTGCAATTTTTAGGAGTACTAAATTTAAGAAAAATCGCATCAAACTGTAAGTACCATGTCACATTACAGGTTACAGACAATTATATATATAGTTCTTTTTATTAAATTTACAACAATTATTATTAATGACAATATAATATTATTCCATGACAAAAGATAATAAAAAACGTAAACACCAAATATAAAATATCACACTATGAAAAGCCCTTCGATCTGAATTATTCTTCCGCTACAAGGTCTTTTTCAGATAAATCTCAGCCTTCGAAAGCACAAACCCTGGCTTCCTTATAAACCTTCCCAGGCCTGCAATAATATTTTTGGTTGGAGCACAATGACGATCCTCTGAACATATGCATAAGCCTTCGAGAGCACATCCATCCCTCATTATCGTCGCATCTTTTCTTAACCCTAAAATCTGATCTGTCCACTCGTTCGAGAAAAGTCCTTGTGGATCATACTTTCTTTTCACAGTTACAAATTTACTTGCATTTGGATACTTCTTGATCACTCCATTGAATGCTAAATTCCTGTTCTTTCCCCAGTGGGGCAACCCTCCATATTTAAACAACCCTATCTGCTCAATCTCCTCAAGAATGTCCTCAAACAGTCTAGGAGCCAGGGGGTCCTTGCTTCTGTAATATAAAAAATCAAAATCCACAGAATCTTTTGTTCTTCCCAAGTAAGCACTTGAAGCTTTGATATAGCGCAGGTGAAAGCCATCATAGAGATCTAATCCACACAGTGCTCGTGGCTCTAATTCAACTAGCTTCTTCACATCTTTGATGAAACTTGAAACATTAGACAAGGAGATGGTGAAGGCCGTTTCGTAAAAGAACGCAAGTTGGAATCTAGAATCCCAGGGGCATACGGTCAGCAACGCGTCTTCTTTACTATCTAGGCATGACCCAGATGATTGCAAGCGATTGTTTTGTCCAATCACTGGGTATCCAGTAAAGTTTGCGCCTATTTATGCATAAAGAAACTAATAAGTTCTGATATTAATGATGGTTAAATCAAGTATGGACGAAGGAAAAAAAATGCTCACAGCGTGTTTGTCAAAATGCGTAAGTGGAAAATTATAAAAAAGGAGCGAGTACGTACCGTTGTTAGTGAAGCCATAAGCAGATGCCTCAGCCGTCCTGATATCCAACTGTGCATCAAGGCATTTTCCTTTAGCGTCCCTTGTTGCTTCTTGAAGTTCCTCTGTTACAGAAAATTCCAACTTCTCCTTAGTTTAGTTTTCTGGAAAGACTTAAAAAATTTTTTATGTGTTATTAATTAAAAAGAACGAAAATTATTTATAAATAACCTGTGCCTCTGATAGTAGTTAATTGAGCAGAGGGAGCAGATCGAAGTGCGAGTAAATCAGAGAGACCATCTCCAGAGCGATTAATAGGCACTCGATCATCAATTCTGAACGCAGCCTTCTTTTGTGAAGGATACCACGACAAATCACCAAACTCGTGCTCTTTCCCAAATCTAATCAATTCATCTCCCAAGTCTGCATCACTCTTCGTCACGTACGTAATTGCTCGCTTAAACATGGGCTCTAATTCGAAGGTGACCTGCAAATTAAAACCACCACCTCTTATATATAACTATATTTTTCTTAATTAAATTTAGTAAAATTGGAATAAAAAACTTATGCAACCGTTGGACAGAAAGAAATCTTCATATAAACATGAACAAATATTGTGCCAGTTAATTTTAAGGTAAAAAAAATTAAATTTATATCACTTGATAACTCAAGTAGTTAAGCACAATGGATGGAGCACAACTCAAGTAACTAATGTAAGAGAGATTGTTCATAATTATGAATTAAATAAGTAAGGAATTTGACCAAACAGAAAATCACATTTGTAAATTAATGGGATGGGAGACACACCTGAGAAACAACTCCGAGAACCCCCAGTGAAACCTTGGCTGCATTTAGTTCTTCATCGGACTCAGTCAGGCTCCTCACCTTCGCATACCCTTCTTCCGCCGTGGCCGGCGTCACAATCCTCATCGACACCACATACTCATGAACCGCACCGCCCTTTCCCCACAAAGAGCTGCCGTGAGCCCCCGTGGCCAACAGTCCCGCCACCGTCAGACCCCACCAATACGGCGTCTGTAACAATGCCAACCCATTCCTCGCCGCCTCATTGATCAGGTCCCTCACAAGGACTCCACTCTCTACCGTCATTCTTCTGTTTTCCACATCAACGTTCACGACACGGTTGAGCTTATTGGTGCTTATTATGATCCCGTCTTGGCCTCCAGGGCACGCAAGCTTGGGGATGCTGTGGGAATGCCTGGTGGCTGCTTTCATTTTTGTGTTGGATTTTGAAGCCGAAGCCACCACGGAAATAAGCTCTTTCTCGGTGGTAGGGTAGAGTACTTTGGATGCTCGGCAAGGGATCCGGTCGTTGAAGGCGCCATAAGCGTTATCGATGATGCAGTTTGTGTTGTTGGAAGTGCATTTGACGGGGTCACTTGGGGGAGAAGAAAGAACCCCATTCACGAAAACAAAGAAGATGGTGAGAATGGATGTTTTGAGCATTTTCATGGTTGACTGAAACTTCACTTCACTGTGTATTACCTAGTGATAATGTGTGTCTATATATAAATTTTAGGGCGGGGGGCTTTTGGGCCTGGGAGAAATTTTGGAGCGCCTTGAAATTTGACTTTCAAATGTCAGCTATAAATTGTCAAAGAATGACGATGCCATAATATTTTGCCACTCATATTGATAGGTATATGTTTATATTTTATCGTACATTTGAACAATCAAAGCCAGCCCTTTTTTTAACCAGAAAAAGCCAGCTCGTTAACGTGTGGATTAGCAAAGTTTTATGAGTTCAGTCAAAGTATACGTTGTTTTTAAAATTCACATCAAATCTTAATTTAATTCTTTAAGCTTATAAAGTGAATTTTTTCAGTTTCTTAGTATCATTTATCTAACTTCATTGAAAATATTGATTGAACAAAATTTAAATAGTTATTTCTGCAGTTAAATGTTAACAAAGTATGCTTAAATTTTTAAATACGAAAATAATTATATATTAAAAAATTAAAATTTTAAGCATGTTATATCTGTATTTAATTATAGACTCACCATTTAAATTTTGTTGATCACATTTCTTTGCTAACGCAAACATTTCTCACCATTTAAATTTTGTTGATCACATTTCTTTGCTAACGCAAACATTTGTTTCATTGTTTAATATCCACGTATTTTCCACCCGTTTAGCCAAACATTGTTTTCACCCATTGTTTTTTTTATTTAGAAGATAATGTTATGATGCTTTCGTTTATGACCAGATCACTATTTATTGTACATTTTTTAACTTTGCGATGTTTGACTTTTTTGTTTCATCCAATTTAAAATACTTTTTTTCCAAAGCATAATTATTCTTTTATCAGGAGCAATTTTGTTCGAGGCATTATTAGATACTAAATATGAGTACCTCTTCTAATGAGAATTTAAATATTAATTCGTCACTACGTGAAGGACTAATCCCCTCTCCTTATCCAACTAGTTTGTCAACGTGAAATACTTTTAAAAGTTATCTATTTGTGGTAATGTGCCATCGTCGGGTTCATTATTGGGCTTGTTTCTGGACCGAGGGCTAATTTATTTATTTATTTATTTTTATGTGAAAGGCCTAATTGTATTTGGATGCAAACATGAGCTTAAATAGGAGGAGGTGGGCATAAATTCACAATTGAATGGGTCAAACACATAATGAAGAAAAAATTAATTCTTCTGGTTCGGTATAGTTTTAATTTATTTGTAACTTCAAAGTAAAAAAAAAAAAAGATTATTTATAGCTTAGTCCCTGAGTTTTGACCACTATAAAATTTTTAATTAGGTCTTATATTAAGAAGAGGAAGAATATATATGAGATATAACCAGATACGCAATGAGTATAAAGGATAAGAATGAGTTGATAAGATAGCTTTACCCTAATCCCGTCATCCGTATCCATTCAAACCGATTGGGCTTGCATGGTTGCAACATACTGGGCCGATGCATATGGGGTTGTATCCAAGGAAGAGCCCATACCGCATTACCGATTACGGTTTCCGAAGTAGAAACGTCCGTTAATGCAATTCATTGGAACTAAAGGAAAGAGCACCGAGCTACGGGTACCATATCCCATTGCAGATTACAGACAATCATCTATATATATATATATATATATATTCTTCTCAGGACCCACGCACGACTGGGTTCGGCATAATCTGCGAGCCAGCTACAGAGGAGAGAAGGGGTAATGGAAGAGCCTTTTCATTGTTATCTGCTGGTTGATTTGAAGGAACCGTAACAACCTCGCTCATGAAAATGGCAATGGGGATACAGACAAAATTTATGACCATGCTACAGCAATTTTGAGATGCATGTATATCGCAGCTAGGAAGCTCAACTAGGAAGCTCAAAGGTGTCAATCTCAGTGGAAAAGAGACCGTGCGATGTTCAAATCCCAGTTCGGATGAAGTGGGGAGGACATACGTCCAGGTCGATGGTGCCTTCTCCTATACTTCCTCGACAGCAGCTTGCGGTGGGGTTATCATCGACCACAACCAGGGCATTAAAGAGGGCTTCAAGACCCGACTAATCTCCGGTGATGTCCTAACTGCTGAACTCTGGGGATGTCTTTTTGGCCTAAAGAGAGCGTGGAATAGTGGCTTTAGAAACGTGGTCCTTAGATTGGACTCCTCCGATGCCATTCGGTTACTTAAGGACCCTACGCCAGAGCTGAATGAAGACTGGGCTTTGATTGAAGAAGTCAAGAATATGCTCAAGCGGAACTGGAGAGTGGAATGTCAACTCTTTGACAGAGACGACAACTGGATGGCAGACATGCTGGCCAAGCAGGCTCTAAACGACAAACCGGGGTTTATCATCCTGGGCCCTGATAGCGTTCAAACCATCTTGGACTCGGATGGCATAGGATAGTTTGCTCAACTTGTTCTGGTTTTGTTAGTTTTGCATTTCATTTCCTTTGTATTAAAAAAAAATCTATATATATCGTTATTTTATTAAACTAACATCAATTATGAGAAATAACACTCCACCAAAAAAAAAAAGACACATCAAAAATATAAAAAATCACATTATATAAAAACACTTCGATTTGAACTATTTCTCCACTACAAACCTTGTCTTCAGACAAGTCTCAACCTTCAAAAGTACAAACTCTAGCTTTCTTGTAAACCCTCCCTGGCCTACAATAATATTTCTTGGCTGGAGCACAATGACGATCTTCGGAGCATATGCATAAACCTTCAAGAGCACACCCATCCCTTAATATTACATCTTTACTTAATCCTAGAACGTGATCGGTCCACTCGTTAGAGAAAATGCCCTGGGGATCATACTTTATTTTCACACTTAAAAATTTATTTGCATTTGGATACTTGTTGATCACTTCCTTGAATGCGAAATTCCTATTTTTTCCCCAGTGAGGTAACCCTCCATATTTGAGCAATCCAATCTGCTCAATCTCCTCAAAAATGTCCTCAAAAAGCCTAGGAGTCAGTGGGTCCTTGCTTCTGTAATATACAAAATCAAAATCCACAGAATCCTCTGTTTTTCCCAAGTAAGCACTTGAAGATTTGATATAGCGCAGGAGGATGCCGCCATTTAGCTCTATTCCACACAGTGCTTGCGGCTCTAATTCAACAAGCTTCTCCACATCTCTGATGAAGCTTGAAAGATTAGATAAGGAGATGCTGAAGGCTGTTTCGTAGAAGAACAAAAGCTGGAGTCTAGAATCCCAGGAGCAAATGGTGAGCAATGCGTCTTCTTTGCCATCTAGGCATGACCCAGATGATTGTATGCGATTGTTTTGTCCAATCACCGGGTATCCAGTAAAGATTGTACCTATTTATGAATAAAGAAACTAATAAGTTGCGATATTATTGCTGGTTGAAAATCATCTATGGACGAAGAAAAAAGTGTTCATAGTGTGTTCGTTAAAATGCGCAAGTGGAAAAATGAGAAAGAAGAACGAGAACCGTTGTTAGTCAAGCCAAAAGCAGATGTCTGCGCTGTCCTAGTGGCCGACTGTGCATCACGGCATTTTCCATTAGCGTCCCTCGTTGCTTCTTGAAGCTCCTCTGTTACAGAAATTCCAACTTCAACTTAGTTTAGTTTCTGGAAAGACTAAAACATTTGCGTGTTTCATATCAACTGCTTCTAATTTGTGGGCAGTTGTGCTCTGTGCCTGACGTCGCTTGTAATTGTGAATGAAAAACCAGCTTCTTCCCTCACTTGAACTCAAGTATATATGTAGTTAAGAGAATAAAAAAGAAAGATATGTAGTGAACCTGTGGCTCTGGCAGAAGCTAATTGAATAGTCGGAGTGTGACGAAATCCAAGGGTATCATAGAGACCATGTCCAGGCTGATTAATGGGCACTCGATCATCAACTCTGTACAGTGCCTTCTTTTGTGTGGGTAACCATGTCACATCACCAAACTCGTGCTCTTTCCCAAATCTAATCACTTCCTCTCCCAAATCTGAATCATTCTTCATCACGTACGCAAGCGATCGCTTAAACAAGGGTTCTAACTGTAACGTTACCTGCAGATTAAAAGCGCCAAATGCATTAACCCCGGCGCAGTAATCTAGCCTAATCAAATTTTAGTTTAACTTAATTGGTATGATTTTACTGTTTCATAATATTATTGCGATGACATGAAGACGAATAAAGAGATACCTGAGAAACAACCCCAAGAACCCCAAGCGACACCTTGGCTGCATCAAGTTCTTCATCTGACTCATTCAGGCTCCTCGCCTTCGCATACCCTTCTTCCGCCGTCGCCGGCGTCACAATCCTCATGGACACCACATACTCATGAACCGCACTTCCCTTTCCCCACAGCGAGCTGCCGTGAGCCCCCGTCGCCAACAGTCCCGCCACCGTCAGTCCCCACCAGTACGGCGTATACGGCAACGCCAACCCATTCTTGGCCGCCTCATTGATCAGGTCTCTCAGAAGCACCCCACTCTCTACCGTCATCCTTCTGTTAACTACATCAACATTCACTACATGGTTGAGCTTGTTGGTGCTTATTATGATACCCTCATGGCCTCCGGGGCAAGCAAGCTTGGGCATGCTGTGGGAATATCTCGTCGCTGCTTTCACTTTTGTGTTGGATTTTGATGCTGAAGCCACCATGGAAATAAGCTCCTGCTCCGTGTTTGGGTACATTACTTGGGATGCTCTGCAAGTGCTCCGGTCGTTGAAGGCGCCATAAGAGTTAGTGATGACGCAGTTTGTGTTGTTGGCAGTGCACTTGACGGGGTCATCAGGGGGAGATGATACAACCCCATTCACGAAAACTAAGAGGAAGATGATGAGAATGGATGTTTTGAGCACTTTCATGGTTGATTGAAACTTCTCTGCAAGCTTGTTCTCTGCAGAAGTATTAGTGAATCATCCCAGTGATAATGTGCATATAAATGTGCAGATTCTAGAGCTAGGAGCTTTTGGACCAGAGAGAAAGTATAGGGAGCGTCGACATTTGACTTCAAACATCAACATGTCTTGGTCACAGTGCGACCTCGTCACATCTTAAATCATAAGTTATCAAAGAATGACAATGCCATAATATTTTACTACTCGCAGTGTTAGGTATATGTGCGTTCTATGTCAAGAATCAAAGCCAGCCCGTTCACACGTGGATTAGCAGAGTTTTACAATAAGCCCATATAATAAAGGAAGTGCAAGGCTGCCTGAATTGAAGAGGATAATTAAAGCGTACTTGAAATAAAAATCCGTCTCAACCACCGAAAGATCGATCAACAGAGTTACAGTGAAGTGAATTTTTTTTTTTTTTTATGGCAAAACTCGAAGGAAACTTGCAGTTATTGTGTTCCTAGAGAATGCAATTGCATGATCGGTGATGGTCTCACTTCTACTTCTCTGCTAGACATGACTTCTAGCACCTCTACACACAAAGAAGTTATGAGATTACAATCTCCAGCGAGTTAATTTCTTGTTCCAGGCTTTGCCTTTCTTATTTACCGAGAAAAAAATAAAGACTTGGAATCAACTTATGATAGTAAAAACTCCCCGCGATCTCTTTTCCATTAAGCAAAATATTTACTTCCTTGTTTTAAATCCTGGTATTTTCCTATGGCGTTTAGCCAAACATTGCTTTCATAACATCTTTTTATTCATAAAAATATTGTTCTGATGCTTTCATTCTAATTTAGACCCTTCATTATATATATTCCTTACAGATTACAGCATTTGACTTGGATTAGTATGCAATCTCTGGATGACTTGGACTTTCAGTCATATTTGGGTTCTGTACTTCTTTCGCTGTTATTTCGTTCTGGTTATACATACAACTCATCAGAAATTTTTGTATAACGGATTTTAGATATCCGTTGGTACGTCCTCTCCCTGTTGGGTCATTATCACTCTCTCACGTTAATTCTTTATTTTTTTTTTTTTTTTTATAAAACCCTTAAACCACTTTTTTAAGATTAAAAAATAATTAGATTAGTTATATGTTAAAATTTTTTACAATTTTCATAAAATTATTGTTAATCCAATTAAAGGTTTAAGATCAGAATGAAAGAGCAGGGTATTTTTGAAAATTAGTTATAAATGTTTTATTATACTACCTCTAATCCTTAATATAAAATCTTGTTTGATTTTTTTTTTTTGTCCCAAATATAACATTTCAATCCATTTTTTCTCTTACATTTATTCATTTTTTTCTAAAGTAGTTTTTCTAATAATAGTAGTTCTAGCTAATACACTTGATCAGCAAGAATATTTAGGAAATACCATACATATTTATAACAAATAACTAACTTAATTTGTTTTTTAACCTAATTAAATTAGTCAACTAACTTTTATATTTAGGATCGGAAGTAATATTTGATTTAAAAAAGTCTTGTATTAAGGACCATTTGAAGCAAAAAGAGTATTTTTAAATTATTATAAGGTGTTGCTTGTGAGATGATATAGAGAAAAACACTGTAGGGGGGGGGGGAAGCAAGAAGGAAAAAAATTTTAACAGTTGTCAACGTTCTACTCCTGTGTATTACTACATTCAGCTGCCTCCAGCTACAACATTAACAATGTTCAACTTCATCATTTGAATATATTTTAAACTTCGCAAGGTTCGACTTTTGTGTTTCATCAAATGTAAAATATATTTAAAAGTCACCTATATCTATATATTTCATCCACGCAATAGTTAATTACTATCTCTGTTCTCAATATAAAATCTAATTGACTCATTTGAGTAGATTAAAAAAACTAGTTAAATTAGTTATTTATAATAAATAGATTTTATTTTTTCTAAAATATCCTTATTAATCAAGTGCATTGGCTAGAACTATTATTATTACAAGGATTATACAACTTCAAAAAATAGATAAATATGAGAGACAAAATGAATTGAGGTCTTATATTTAAAACTAAAATAAAAGTCAGATTTGCTTTTATATTAAGAACCTTAGGTAATATATGACTAGGTCAAATCAACAAGTTACCGTATACAGGAGTCAAGCCTATTAACACAGGACATAATCCTTAGAAGAATGTGACATCATCCAGTTTTTTTTTTCACAAAAAGAAAATTGCCACTTACATTAGCATTATCATCCGTTTTGTTTTATTAGTGGGCTTGTTCTGGACCCAGGCCCATTTATTTGGGTGCAAACAACAACCTTAAATGGGTTTTTGTATCAAAAAAAAAAAAGAACAACATGTATAATGATTAATGAAAAAAGTCCGAGGACGTACGCAATTGACCAACAACTTTGCTTCCATTAGGATATAAATTCACAACTTTGTTCATCATGTTTTAAATTTTTTTATTTAACCATCAAATATCAAATATTAAGCAAAAAAAATGAGTATTATTATTCTACTCCAAAAAGCCTAGGAGTCAGTGGGTCCTTACTTTTGTAATATACAAGATCAAAATCCACAGAATCTTTTGCTTTTCCCAGGTAAGCGCCTGAAGCCTTGACATAGCGCAGGAGGAAGCCACCATAGAACTCTAATCCACACAGTGCTTGTGGTTCTAATTCAACTAGTTTCTCCACATCTTTGATGAAGCTTGAAAGAGTAGACAAGGAGATGCTGAAGGCTGTTTCGTAAAAGAACGCAACTTGGAGTCTAGAATCCCAGGAGCATATAGTGAGCAATCCGTCTTCTTTACTATCTAGGCATGACCCAGATGATTGCAAGCGATTGTTTTGTCCAATCACTGGGTATCCAGTGAAGATTGTTCCTATTTGTGCGGAAAGAAACTAATAAGTTGTGATTTTAATGCTGGTCAAATCAACTATAGACGAAGAAAAAAGTGTTCGTAGCGTGTTTGTGAAAATGGGTGAGTGGAAAATGAGAAAGAAGAACGAGTACCGTTGTTCGTCAAGCCATAACCAGATGCCTCAGCCGTCCTAGTCGCCAACTGTGCATTAAGGCATTTTCCATTAGCGTCCCGTGTTGCTTCTTGAAGTTCCTCTGTTACAGAAAATTCAACTTCTCCTTAGTTTAGTTTCTGGAAAGACTTGAACATTTCATAATATAAATTGAATGATTTGCTATGAAAATAGTAGTGTACTATAAATAAAAGAATAAATAATTTTAAAATATAAATTCTGTTACTACAATTAATTTAAACGACACAAATTTAATTTAACATAGGACATAAATTCTGCCTAGTTAGAAGTAATGCGCTATAGAGCCAGTAACTTATTTCTATATAAAAATATTTTTTATTATATAAAAGCTTTTTTCAGAAGTATTATTTTTTCCCCTAAATATTAGTATTTGCTTTAATATTTTTCACCGAATAAACGACCACCTCTAATCAGTGAATTTAATTCATCAAGAATAATTTTAATTTTTCCAAAGCATTAAAAAATTAATTTCAAACTAAATTTTCAATCCTTATAAAGTTATTAATGCGTGTCTTTATCATAAGGATTGGATAGCATTAAAAATTTTAACAGAATGCGTAATTGATGAGAAGTGCAATTCATTTTTTAAATTTCTTGTAATACACAGGACTTCACTGGTTTCAACAGTTTGAATAATAAATTCACATGTTCAAAATTTGATTTGAAATATATATATACACACAATTTTCTCAAATTTTAATGCTTTTCAAAATGTGAGAAGAATTATAAAATTGGTAGGGTGCGGTCAAGCTTTGTGAGGCCGAATATGGAGAAATATGGGCTTGTACTTGCCCCTTGCTTGGATTGAGAGAAAATTAGGGAGGAGAGAAAACTAGAGAGAAAAACATAAAGAAAAACAAGTTTTCTTTTGTCTGGATAGGAGAGAAAATATGGGAGGAAAGAAAAGTAGAGGAGAAAATAAGATGAGCCTCATGCCTTATTTTCTCTCCAAATTTGCTCTCCATATATGGAGAGAGATTGGGAGGGAAAACAAGACTTCCATAACTGTCCCTCCTCTCTCTTCCTCTCTATATTTATTTTCTTTTATTATATTTAAAAGTTATTCACTTTTTTTTTTCATCTTAAAACAATATTTTTATTAAATAGTTTGGTTTTAAAATATAATAACCTGAAAATATATACAAACCAGATAACTTGATTTTAAATTATTTGATGATGCTAATGTTAGTATAATTTTTCTATTGTAATATTTAATTTAATTTAACTGTAAACATGATATATTTTAATAAGGACATTTTAGTCATTTAGATATATGTTAATTTTCTTTCCTCTCTATTTTCTCTCATCCATCCAAAAACGAGGGATGATCACAACTTCTCTCTAGTTTTTCCTTCTCTCTATTTTCTCTCCTTTTATTTTCTTTCCCCTCAACTTTGCTTCCCATCCAAGCAGGGCATTAGGGAACGTTCAAATTAAAAAGCCCGCCTCGGGATCTCATGGCATCCTCGCTGACGGCCATTCCATTCCGAACTTTCTTCCTTAATATCGTACGGAGACTGCCAAGCTCCTTTTTTTTTTTAACCAGCGGCTGCCAAGCTCATCAGCAATTTCGTACAACTAATCACTGCGGAGGAAGAAATATATAAAAGCCACTGAAAATCGGAGTTAATATAATTTTATTAGAATGTATAAAAATATTCATATGTAATTTTCTTCCAAAAGAAAATATTATTTAATAAGTAAATAGAGCATTCATATGTAAATCATATATTATCTAACATAAGATGGTTACCAAAACAAATTTAACCAATTGTTAGTTTTTTCTTGTTTAAGGTCAAAACCACAATCATTTATAGTTTATTAAAAAAGATAGCCTCTTATTCATGGGTTCAATGAACAAAGGGATTGGACATACCTGTTAAGGAAGCAAATTTGATCTTAAAGCATGTCATGACGCTTGAGGGAGGCATCTTCAAAGTCAAAACTCAATTATG